TAGGAACTGTGCAATTTTAATTAGCTGTTTTGATAATTAAACTAATTGGTTCCCTTGTGTTTCTGCAATGTGTGCTGAGAACTTTTTGATATCTGGGCAGCAGATTTTCTATCCGCTGGTTAATTAGTCACTTTTGCATTAAAAAGGAGCCTTCCTTAATAGCCTTAATTTGCAGTTGAAAAGAGAATCTACCATCAATAATTTGTGTAATTGGTAACCGTTTGATTGTAATTTAGAGGCACGGCCGGACAGCTCTGCATGTCTAATTCCTAATGACTAGGATTAAAGTTGGATTAGCTGTTTGGGAAAGGGATTCACTCTCCCCTCTTCCCTACCCATCGAGTGACACCTTGTCGACATTTGATTGGTCATGAAATTCAAATTGACTAGAGTGAACAGTGAGGCTTATGCTCGTTTTATTACTTTCTATATGGTGAGCCTGCCAGGTTACATCAAAAAGATTGTAGTGATTTTTATTTTTCACCCACCATGTTGGTAGTTTCACGAAGAGGAGAAGGAAAAGAAGTTACAATTTATTATGAAATATGGTAAATCCATTCTATAAAAGGTATTTATGTAAAGATGTGAGGGGAAAATATTGCCAAGATGAACCACTAGGAGGAGCAGAGCTCTCAGTGTAATAAAGTGCATCAGGTCTCATTGCTGCAAGAAAGTTACCTGAGTATACAGTGAAAAATAAAAAAAAGTGCAACTTAAGATCTTGCTTTAATGATACATTTTTAGGCATAAATTTAAAAAAAAGTGCTTTATATATATATGACTCCTTTTAGCAGCAGAAGCAGAACACAGACACAAGTGTCAGCGATGTGCCAAAATGCATTTGAATATTGACTGAAACACAGAGACCTGGAAAAGAAGCATATCATTCTACATCTTAACTGTCGGGCACAGTTCTCTGTACTTTTACAGCCCACAACCACGTCAGTAGTCTGATTAAAAAGCACCATTCATCCCACTTAGCTAGAATACAATTAAGGGACATGGCTTTAAAAGCCCAGCCCTGAAGCCTCTCCCTATTCCACATAAAGGGAGCACTCTCCACTGAGCTTTGCCTGTAAATATCATGTTTGATATGAGGTTTTAATCTGCTTAGCTATTCTGAACTATAGAATGGGCTCATCCTCTCTCTGGAACCTCTGTCCAATGGCTGTGTGCCTAAGGACGAATGCGAACACAACACAAGTGCGCTATCTGATTAGGTGGGGTTAATTACAGTGCACTGTTTTGTAGTGGTTGCATTTGAGAGCAGGCCATAAATAGACAGGCATGGCTAATGCATGCTCAGAAATGAATTCTAATTAACTGTGCATCAGAGAAGCCCACTCAGGGGGTTGTTGCTGGTATTCACTGACCCAGGTGTTGGATGTAGAGTAGGAAAGGGGGTGCACCCTAAGATGCAGCGAGGGGCTTAGGCGTGACCCACAAAATCCCAACTTGTTGTGACTTAACACATGGGTAATTTTTATTGATGAGAGCTACTTTAATAAGAGCCCCTGTGAAACCTATTCATATACTCTTATAATAATTGTTAAAACAGTTCACTGAATGGTCCCCACTTTCAAATGTTAAATGGTTATTTGAAGTCGAGCCCTGATGACACTGAACCATTGTTCCCTTTACTTTTTTCAGTTTTCTGTGTGATTGGATTAATTATGTGTCACTCACTCAACGCTATAGGTCAGCAGACATACATTCTTGGTCAGAAGTCATCAATCTATGCGACCGTGGAGATGAAAAGTCAAGCGTGTCACCCAGGAAGCTGTACAGAGAGGGATCAGACCATTGATTTCAGGGCCAAACCAATCTTACCACAACCTGCTGCCTTGAAAACTGAAATTATCCCTATGGTCATGGTACACGGAGCTTTGTATATTAGCTTTGTAAAAAGAAAAGAAAAAGACTAATAATAGGTTTATCTGGTAAGTGCTAAATTATTCACTTCCCTGATTCCAAACTGTCAAGACAGGGCTACAGAATGGTTTGATTCAAAAAAGAAAAAATGGTGTTGTGGTTAGACTTTTTTGGACCTTAAGCCCTTCAATAGATAGCTCAGATTACTACAACATTACTACAGGACTGTAAATGAGATTTTCCTGACTGACTTTTCTCTAGTTTAGTTTTTTTGTTTTTTTTGTCAATAAACGATTACAATATCCAATGAATATCACGTAAATGAATAAAAACACATTTAAATTATTATTTATGTTTTGGAGGAAAAAAATGATCAAAAACAACCTCCCATTCTTCTGTCAAAAAGTAGAAGGTAATGAAAGGCCTATTGTTAAAACATATAAAAAAAACTATGGTAACTTTTTATTGCTATTTTTTTTTTATCTATTAAAAAAGACGGAAAAGCAGACTCCAGCACCCATCATTATCTCTGTAAAGTGCTTGGGGTGACATGTCTTGTGAATTGGCACTGTATAGATAACCTGAATTGAATTGAATTTTAAGTCATACTGTAGTTAAATCGAAACTAAGTGATTGTACTGGCTTTTTTAAAATTATCTGGATCTAATACATAACATTGTTGATGAAAATCTAATAAAATCAGGCAATTGATGGAATACCATCTGTTCAAAGGAGGTTGATGTTCAGTTTGATACGTGTATTTAATATACAATTTAGCAATGGGCAGAGAGAAACAATATCTTAATAATCAGATTGATATAGAAATTCTTTCTCACACCCAAGTTGTTAAAATTAGTTAAAAGCGTGTCAGATATTGATGCAATGGAGATACCCCCCTCACCATTATTCATGCACAGGGTGCATGTGAGGCTGTGGCAGTCAATCTCACAACATTTGCATGGAGCGCAAACTGCAAAACTAGAACTAACCAATCCCTAATCCTAACCCTAAATCTAAATACATGATTGTATACTAGTTAACATACACTTTTAAAGATACTGTACCAACAGCAATGTTGTATGCTAATTTTTTTTGTAGCAGGTCACTTACGTGTAAATCTCTCAGACAACATGGAGTAGGCTAAAGGCTTTCAAGAAGGATCATATCCAGTCATACCAAGTATTTGAAGAAATTCAGTCTTTTAAAGTCTTTGACAACTTTCAGTTTGGAAAATGTTAGGAAGCTTTTTGTAAGACTTTTGGGAAACAGCACAATGAAAGCTATTATCCAGCAATGAAGAGAACCAGGTAAATTTGTGAAGCTTTCCAGGAGTGACAACCCAGCCAAATGTATTCCAGGGTAGCAGGAGGTTACAGAAGGGCCTAGGTCATGGCAACCACAGAACAGGATTATAACAGAGGCAACCAGACTTTCACTCAGTTTTTCTACAAACAGTTCACACCTATCCAGGAGTCACTGTCAATTCTGTCACTTCCACTGGAGTTGGAACGCTGAGGATGTTAAGCACCTGCGGTCCTCCCTCCTAAGCACATTCCAAGTCAAATGCAAATCAATGACCTATCTATCATTCTCCTGGGTTGTTGGAGTGTGTTGTTTTGTATGGGTTTTGTGTTTGGCCATTTGAATCATCATGAGCCTGCTTGAGTGATTTCTTTGGAATGAGTTCCAGGACAGAGTGGTGGATGTTTGGAAGCATAAACCATGTACCTGGCTTTTCTCTTTAAGTTGACTCCCTTCATTTCTCTTTCAAACCATCGTCTCTCTCAGGCCACATTCAGAGCATCTTGGTCAGACATCAAAAAAAAAAGAAAAATTTAGCAAACGTTCAATTACCTCTGATTTAAGCCTGTTATATAATTAATTTGTGGAATCATAGTACAAAATATTTCTGGATGTTCTAATAAAATACTAACTTCAAGGAAAATCATTGCTATTTCAAGACCTGATTATTTGCATAATTTCTAAAACAGATGTACTGTATAGTTTCTTTTTTCTCTCTTTAGCACTCTGAACGAGAATTACAAGAAATTAGTTCCTGACTTTCAGCTCAAACACAAATGCGTTATCAAGTGGCACTGAAGTCCTGCTATCATTGTCTAAATAAAACAAATTTAAGTTTTATCAGCGAGTTCATGTCCAAAACCATTCAACTGCCTAAACAGCAAATCGTAGCAGTTGTTTCCACCAAGGATAGTTTTACTTTCATGCAACTTAATTTGAAAACTGCATTTTATTTTTAGGCAGGTGATCTTTGCCATATATTAAACATTTTTTTTTTTTCTTTTGCTGATCTGAAACATTTGAGTGACTAAAGAACAAATAAATCTGTAAAGAAGAAACTTTTTTTCACATCACTGCACTTTTGGCACAAACGTTGGCTTATAGAGATCTGGTAGTGATAACGTGCTCAAACAATAGAATAACTGGTGCAAAACGTGACAGAAGGCAAGGACAGACTGAGCAGGCTCACACCACAGACAGACAACCTGCTGGCTGCTGACGAACCAGCGTTATTGTAGCTCAACTCACTCCACTCTCCTAAATGGCTAATCTTTGTTGGATCTCACCCTTAATTGGTTAACAGTCTCCGCAGGGCAAGGGAAAGTGGTGCTATTTAAGGCTCTGCCACCAAACAGCAACACTTTCATCTTGGCAATAACGGGCAACAATTATATTACCAGATTCGAAACTGAGCCATTCTATCTAGCCACTAATCAAAACCGCGGCCCATCTGTTGTGCTCGTCTTGCTCTGAAACCCTGTGATGTATGTATGATAAATGCGCGTGGACGCTAATTAGCGGCTAAACAGACCGCAATTAGACGGTTTCAAATCTGCGGAGAAAAGTAGAAGTGAGAGTGGAGAACAATGAGCGCGTTTTGTGTTGACTCAAAGTCTACTAGGATGGAGCAGCATCACTCTTCCTCACGCACACAATCAACACGCAGCCCCTCACTTGCACGGCTGCGCGCTCTCTCCCTCTCTCTCTCAATCACGCGCATTCAGTCTGGCAGGCAGCCTCGCGCGCGCGCGCGCGCGTCAGCGCACGCACTCACTTTCCCTTAGCTATGCTTTTGTGTTTTGTCAGAATTAATGAGAAAAGTTCCCTTGCCCTAGGGGTAATTAGTGTCCTTGGAGTTAAATAAGCTAATACTTAGACACCTCTGGCACAAGCAATTATGTTTGTGTATTGAATAATTGATTCAAAGAGGGGGGAAGGGCTGCTAATCAGATCTGAGCATAATGAATTGATTTAATTAACAGGGGAATCCGAGGGTCTCTGGAAACTGCGCGCATTTATTCAGCGGTAGAAAGGCGAGAGCGCGGCACACAAACTGGGAGAGAGGCGGCGCGAGTTTGCTTTTAGCAGTTGTCAGATTCGCAATTGGATTTGTTTGAATATATAGATGCCGTTTCGGAGCAAATGAGAAGGCGAAAGGGAGAGCATTAACACCGAGAGAGGAGAGAGCTCAGCTGGTCCGAGCGTGTGGTCCGTCCTTGCGTGTGAACTCCTTTACGCAGATTTACTCTAGATTTATCTCGCTTTTCATTGTTTTTTTTTTTTTTCGTGTCATTTTTTTAAAATTAAAAATTCGCATGGAATTTATCAAGGGCAACCAACGCGGTGTTTATTTGCATTACAGCTCAGCCCGAAAAGAGGGTTTTCGTCGTGTTTATCGCTGCATTCCGTGTGTGAATTATTATTGATAGGAGGTGCAGAAAGCGATACGTCGTTCCAGGTTTTCTCCCCCCTACTCCCCTTTTTTGGTTTAGCGAGGCTTAGTCTAGTACTCAGCCGCGCGTTTCAAAGCAATTTCCAGGAGAAGTGGTGAGAAGACGGAGCAGTGCAGCCTGCTGGAGCCGAGGACGGATCGCCCGGGGAAGGACTCCTCGTTCCTCAGGACGATGGTGTTGGACAAGGAAGAGGGTGAGTAACACCCATAGTGGCAACATGCTATAATAATAACCCGGAGGAACTGCTGACATTTTTACGCATTTTGCGTCTCCATGGGTCTCGACCTCATTCAATCCTCCTTTTGTTTTTTTTGTTTTTTGTTTGGCAGGAGTCAGTTTTCCATGAAAGTTCCCCAAATGCAGGAAGAGTTGCGTGTTTATTTAAGAGCGCATTTGTTGTGTTGCATTTTTTTTTCTAGGGCACACTCTCCTCCACTCTTTGCTCCTCTCTCTAAGTGCTTTTTGCGTCTGTGAAGTTGGCGAGGCAGCCTTTGACATCACACGGGATGGGAGATGACAGCGGAGTGCTTTTAACTTGATTGCAAATTATGGATAGCGCCGAGCAACGTTCGCTCACTTCCCATCGAAATAGGTCTTCTTGCATTACTTATCTATTTCAATGAATCCAGGTTAATGGGTGAGGCAGTCTAATTAATTTTAATTTGAATCAAACTTGCCTCTAATGACGTCCCATTTTGGAGGAAATGCTCAGATGCACTTTCATTTATTCAGCATGATATCCACAGTAGCCTCACTGAAGGTCTTTATGTGTCCTGAAAGGAGGAAAAAGTCTCTTTATTCTGCACCTCTTTAGAGGGATGGAGGAAATATGGACCACCTGCTGGTATACACAGTGACAGCCTTCATGGACCATGTACCACATCTCAGTATATTTCTGCTACAAGCTGAAGTTTATCCTCTTCATACAAAAGTAATGGATGCATTTGGAACCCATCATTTATGATAGAAAATGGACATTTCATTTGTCTTAACAGTCCGTTCTTACCCTTAAATATCTTAGAAAGGATTGCGGTGCAGATATAAAGTGGTCTGTCTGGCTCAGGCCATGTTGTGATAATGTACTCAAATTAACTCAACTGTAAATTGGCCCCTTCTTCGGATGTCCATCTTGCTAAAAGTTCCCTATATGATTCACAATCCGGATTGCTTTTAACAGTTATTGGCTAAGCAATATGGTAAATGTACAAGGTGATGCAAATGGCATTAGTGGGGAAAGGATGCACAGGAGCATGTAATGCAGTCAATACTACATTAAGTACTGATGCCCAATTACAGAAGCAGGGAGAGAGGCTTTTAGGAGCATTAGGACTTGCAGAAAAGCTGAGATCACCTGCTGCTCATTGCCTAAAAGCTTCACCCTTTATTTGCTGGGTTCAACCCACAGCTTGTGAGGGTTTTTTTTATTATTTTTTCTTTTTTTTGGGGGGGGGGGGGGGTCCAGGTTGTCAGCACAGCAGGTTGGTTCTGGTCTCGTTCACTGTGGTGTGCCCTCTTAGGGTTTATTGGCTCTAAAGTTATAGACTTGTCAATTCAACCTTCTTGTCTAATGCATTCTCTAAGTGCCTGCATGAATAAAGGTGTGCAGCATGGGAGGTGTGGGTCGGTGTTGTAAAGGGGCCACACGGGTATATGAAAGCTCTGCTTCTCTTGATTGATTTCTTCATATATTGGTGTGTGTTTGCACAAATAACTTGGGTGTTTCTGTTTTAGTTGTTTCACGAGTGGATCACTGGTTTGTTCGCTGATGTATTCAAAGATTACGGTTTAGTTTGGCTGCAATGCTGCTTGTTTGGCAGATTGGTTTTAGGATTTGCCTTCTCTTAGGGAAATCTACAACAATTTCAGCTGTTACAGCTTTAACCAGATATAACATTTTTGCAGCTCTTTTTTAGACATTTCCAGGGGAAACTGGCTTCATCCTTATGTTCTACTTCTGCCAAAGTGCCACAGAAGTCAATACATTAGGTAAAAACTAAGGACCTTTATCAGTTTTGTGTTAACTTCTGTCTCCTTACAATCCATAATTTTTGTAAACTAGGTGAGTTTTTCTCATTTTGCATGTCTTTTATTACATAATTTTGCATGCACACTCTAATCTATTTACTGTTTTTTACGGATTTTAAGGTTTTAACTTGCATTCCCCACTATACTTACTGAGATCAGTAAGGATGACTGTAAAAGTAGCACAGGCACCGCTCTTTGAAATGACCTAATATGCGTGCTATAGTTGATAATGAATAGCAAAACATGTACCAAAATATTCAGTGTCAACATTTTACTTCACCCTGTGATATGAGGCTCCAATTTGCTTCTAATTTGAGAGAAGAAAAAAATAGCAACTCAGCTGTTTTCCCTTTTAACTATGGCAGAGGAAAGTGGGAGGACGCTGAAGGCGTATTTTTGCTGAATATTAACAGAATCACAGTTTATTCCTGCTTAGAAAAGGGAGCGAAAAGGAAAATCCTCTACCAGCTGATAAGTTTCTGGTCACCTTTACGGGTTAATTTAAGATCCCCTTATCATCCTGTCCACTGGAATTTCTACATTCATAACACATGTGATTGAAAAGTAATGCTTCAGCTGAATACAGCCTTGGCAAGCTGTCGGCCGCTGTAATAAAAGTCGGGCTTCAGGCTTCGATATTTATTTTGAAATAATAAGAATTGCTTCATTCTTTACCCGCGTTGCCATGGCAATACTGTCTCATAGCAATGTTATATTGATTTAGAAAGTGGACAGTAATATTTCTTTTCTGTTATTCAGTTTCTGATGGTTGATTTCTAATTTCCAGCTGGAGATTACTTTTATATGTTCCTTAAGTCATTTTTTTCACTTTTTACAGAGAAATGCAATTTGCTTTTTGCTATTTGCCATTTTTCAGCTTATTGGTTCATTCGGGCTTTAAAATTAAACTTGCCTATTTCAAACAGTGAAATTACATCTCGTTTTGTGCTCTAGGCCGTGGACAGTATTAAAATCCCATTGCTTTGTGGGATTTTTTTTTCCAGTCAGGAGCTTTATTTATTTAGCCAGTCGTTTTACTTCAAAGGAAACAATGGCAGTTTAAATAACTGTAAATATAAAAATACATATATATATTTTAAGTAGTTATGCTTTTGATCTGTTTAGGTCTCATTTTTTATTTTAATTAATTTAGTTAAGACATCATATTTGATAACAATACATTGCACTGCACTGGTAATATTTTGCGCTGTCAGGTTACTCTAAAGCTGCTCTGGCTGTTCATTCTAGCTAAGCTCAGGGGAAAAATGTGCTACAAAACCACATTAATGCAATTTTCAGCCCTGAGTGTTTAATTTAATCTAATCTGAGTCTGATATCTCACAATTGCAGAATTCTCACTAGAGACAATTTCGTCTCGTCACCACTAACCGTCTAGATCCTTATCAGCCCTGATCGTTTCACATTTTACAAGTGCAGCAGATCCGTATCATTTCCGTGATCTAAAGTGGAATTCAAAAGGACGGAATTGAGACTTGAGAGACACATTTTAGCGAGCGCACCCACCTGCCTTGGATGTAAATGGCCGCACTCATCAGCGCGGTGCACAAACTCAATTATGCACTCTTGAGCTGCGAGAGCATCTCTTTTATTACTGCCAGGAGCCACATGCTGGCAATGTTATAATATTCAGATTCCCAGTAACAAGACGTGTAGCTGCAACCCAGGTGGCGGGGAGCAGATCATCCCTGTTGGATCATACAGAAATAAGATAAAGTTTTGACGCTAAGCTTAGTTAAAAGATGTGTAAGTGGTAGAAATGTTGAGAAATAATGATTATTAACTGCATAACAACCTGACAGGTGTAAACAAATGTTTATATTTAGTTAGTAACTACTCTGTTGGAAACCACTGGAAGAAGGTCTGACAGCCACCCGTCACTGCAGAGCTGACGCATGAGCTGTCTCTGACAACACTCATGTCAAATTGTTGAAAAAAAGTAAAAAACACAGAGTGATGCTACAAATATTAATGTACACATCTCCTACAACATTCCTTCAGCTTTTTGTTAGACACTGATAAGTTATTTATTGACTGCCTTCTGCTCTGACTGGGAGTTATGATCCACTTTGTTAAGGTTACTCTTCAGTCTGACTGTCATCACAGGCGAAGAAAAGGAAATCATGAAAAGAGGAATGACCTGTTGCAAAGTTACTGGGGTGAACCGATGAGCTGATGTGTAAACTACACAGCAATCGGCTATTATTCTTCAGCAGCTGAGATGCTTATCTCAAATGGACATTGAGATAATGATTTATATACAATATAAATCTTTTTTTGCCCTGATGTGTCTTAATGAAACCGATCAGTCTTCTTTAGCCATTGCTGAAAAGCGTAAATCGCTAAAGTCCTACAGTTTGTACAATTTAAAAAGCTGAAATGACATTTTTTAGAAGCACAAAAATATTCAAAGAGATTTTTAAAGGTGTTTGTGCAAATGCCTGTAGTTTGAGGGAAATAAAAATAATTGAATGTCTCAGTTTAGAAAATAATACTTTTAAAGAACTGGCACTGGATATTCTCACAAAAGCAGGTCTGTTTTAGCAGTTACATCATCAGACTTTGATAACATAATAATTCCAAATAAAGCCTAAGTGGTGATTTGATACAATATAAGTGTTTCAAGTGTTGCCAATGTTTAAGCCAGAATATATGAGTAGGTGTTTTTACTTTGTTCCAGAAGTATGGTGTAACAGCAAAGAATAACTAGATAAAGGCTGGAAAACTTGTTATTATAAAGGATTTTGTTTAAATATTTTGGCTAAATTAGATACAGAAATCTCCATTAGTCTTCTGCAACATTTTTTTTTGTCTCATGTTATATCTTGTTTATTTTGTTCATATTTTGTAGATTATGTATGTACACTGAAGTTTTTTTTAAAGGGACAGTATGTAACCAATTTGCCTGTTATTAACAAAACTCAAGAATTGCTTTAATAAATACATATTCTGTCATAGTCTAATGAAATCTTGTCAAATATGAAAGTGTTCTCGTGGCTTAGAATTAGAAGTTTATAAATGCACAAAGGGCGGTGCACCCAAGAGGAGACCTGCTCAAGCTTGCCAAGGCTCAATACTCTTTTCAAGAACACAGAAAAGAGTGGACTCAACACACGCTCGGCTCGTCTGGAGCTGCATTTCACCTCTTGT